ACAACTGAAATATTTACTGCTGCTGCATTCAGCAAGTAAACTTGAAACAGAAAAACATAAAAGCAATCGGCCCGATAACACGTCATCCTCCACTCAAGCCGATACGTGGCTACACGTATTTACCCGCCTTTCTGATAAAATTCATTTCATCACTAACCAGGGCAAGTGACGGAACACTAATGCACATGCCCGCGTCATGGTTGGCAATAAAAAAAGCTTCGTCAATCTCCCGAGCATACTTAGTTTTACGTCGTGCTAAAATCTTAATTTCGCTAAACATTGGAGAGCACGCACATCTGTCACAGTGGACCGCTAAGTTGCCAGACGGGGAAAAGCGTAAGGACAGAGAATGTTCCCTCGCCCGGTCGTTAACACCTCTCCCCGTCTGCCCAATGTACACTTTTCCACAGGACAACGGAATAATGTACACCACCCCACATGCGCAGGCGACAAACGGGTTCCGGTGCTTAACTTGACATTGTGTACCCACGCGGCCACCTCGATTCACGGCTGCACACAGCCGCCCCAACTTAGCTGGAGCCGAAAACACAACTGGCACGTTGTACCTACTGGCAACCTTCTTGACACCATGGGACACCTTGTCATATACGGCAAGACCACATTTCTTACCGTTAGTTTTTGCCTTGCCTCAGTACTATCAGGCGCTTTAAACACCTTAACCAAGGATTCCACGACGCCCATGACAACTCCCAAAGGGAAACCAGCATTTGACAACCTTGTGACTTGCAACAAAAAACTGTCACCACACCTATGGTGGCATGACTTACTCTCGGTGACAAAAAATATTCTGCAAGTGATGTTTCAATCACGGTCATTCAAAATCATGGCGGAAGAGCGCGACTAGTGAACGATAGACATAATCCGTACTCCATGCGCCGAAGGCCAGGAATTTGCCGTCCGAGCGGACACACTCTGTTCGAGGAAAATAGAGTTCGAGCGGCGCATTCGTTTCTTACATATTTTTGCATGATCATATTCAAAACATTATGTGTACCATATTTTCATCCCTGAAGAGCTACAGCATGCCAAGCCAGCTATCCACGTGTGGTGCACGTCCTGGCTCTGCGCGCTCCTCTCATGGACAAAACTCTTTCTCTAAGCGGCTCTTAAAAACCATTTGGCACCTATATGAATGTAAACGGGTTCATACCGGCAACACTTTAGCCATAAAAGTCACCCGTTTGTTGAACGGGTCATTGTTTGAGCCAAAACGTTCACCCCTTTGGGCGAACGGGTCGCTCGTTTCGGTAAACGGGTCACTCGTTTCGGTGGACGGGGCCCTTATTGAGAAAAAACAGGTCAGTTGTGTGGGCAAGCGGCTCACCCGTTTGCTCAAACGAGTGTCTATTTTTCACGAGGAGGCGAGCGGCGACCGTAAAACTGCACCGGTTTTATAAACGGCTATCCCGTTACGTGGTGATCCCGTTTAATACTGAAGTTCAGAGCGGCGGCAAGGGCACGCCTGTTTGACCCGCATGCATTATCGAGAGAGCTATTTTTAATGTAAGTGCACATGTCATCAGTGTAGGCTGAGCAACGACGTAAAAATCGCGACACAAGAGCCGACTGCGCCTCGATCTTCCCGACCGTGCTTGCAAGGCAAAGTATTCTTAACAACAAACCAGCCTCCGATATAAATACAGTTGAACCTCGATTTTACGAAACCCTACTTTACGAATTTCCCGATTTAACAAACGAATTCGGATTCCCCGCGCACCCTGTGCCGGAGAAATGATTTTTTCGATTTTACGAAGCTCCCCATTTAACGAAATAATTAGCGGGTCCCGGTGACTTAGTTAAATTGAGGTTCCACTGTATATAAATATCTTCAGTTTTTTTTTTTTTTTTTACAGATTTCTTTTAAACAAGTCATGAAACCTTCACTTATGCAGTTTGTGCGAGTGAGTATTCAGCCTGGGGGACATTATATGGGTGGCAAACATTTGCGATAAGACAAATATTTAAGTAAAATTTGTTATTTAAATTCTTTATTAGTTAAAATAGTCTTAGAATCGCAATCAGAAATATGCTGAGCATCGTCCAGAACTCCTAAATCAGCAATTTTTAGAAAGACTTCGAGCGCGTAAAAAGAGAAGTAGTGCGTTAAAGGGGGATCAAGACGTTTCGGCGTAGCATGTTTCGATGTAGGGTGTTTAGGTGCGGTCCTTTCGGGTGCACAGACTTTTCGGTGTACGGACTTTTCGGTGCAAGGACTTTTCGGTGCGCGGACATTTCCGTGCACTGACTTTTCGGTGCACCGACATTTCGGTTCACGATCAATCAAAATTGCGAGTTTTTTTTTCTTTTTTCTAAAAGACTATTTTAGGTAAAGTTTCCTTTTTTTGGACTTTATCATTTTGTAGACTTGGACATTCATTTACAGTTTTTATTATTTTTTTTTTTTACCTACTGATATACGATCTAAGTAACTTTATTAGGCGCAGCACCATCCAGCTTGAAAACTTGAAATGTTCGACGTTATGTTTCGTTTGCCGGTGTCTTTTTTTCCAACATACAATCTAGACGCATCTCATCCTGTTCACGCGTTGGGTTCACACAGGCGTGCTCGGCGTCTTCTGTAAAGGTATTGGCTTTATAATTGGTAATCTATGTAGGAAAGGTCCCAACAGCAAGAAGATTGAGAATGTCGAAAATTACATGAGATAGATGTAAAAGATTGGGAAACTTCATGGAACTTTGAGGCGTCCTTCTTCCTGTATCCTTTTTCTTCCACAACGTTTCCCATCCTTTACCACAGTCTCGGGTAATTTTAATGTGTCTTATGTTCTAATTTATTTTACAAAACTTGTGACGCGTGACAGATAGGAAGTACTTTAATTTCTCATATCAGGTGTGCTGAAAAATCGATGCTGTACGATTTTGCGGCAGACGCCTATTTGAAGATATTCCAAATTATTCTGAGCTAAACAGATAAACAACTTCTCAAGATTTACGACAAAACGTTGAGTGTGCAGACGAGCTGGTGGATGTTGATTATGTTGAAAATAACCCGAGATTGTGTCGAAAGATGGGAGACGTCGTGGTAGAAAAATGACAAAGAAAAAAAGACGTCATAAAGTTCTGCGAACACTTAACTTTTGCTCGGGTAATTTTCAACATCCTCAAGCTTCTTGCTGTTGGAGCCTTTCCCACACGGATTAACATTAACATAGCGGATACCCTTATTGAAGACGCCTATGACGCCATTATCGAACCAACGCATAAACACAATGCGATATCGTCATGTGTGTACGATAGAAAGGAGACACCGGCAAACGAACCATAACGTCCAGCATCTCCAATCCTTACGCAGGATGGTACTGCGCCTTTTTGTTTGGTCAACTTTTGGGCTGGGCAGTTCTTTTGAAACCCCGAATACTAGCACTCTTCTATCTGTCCTGTGCACTTGTTATTGACAACAGAGTAGACGCTATGCGTATTTTAGGCCACTCATGTCTCCGGTTATGGTGACGTGACTACAGTCTCCAGGCGGGTGATGAGACAGTTTGGCACCTACTTGAAGGCCACTGCTTGATAGGCCACTCATATGTCAGCCACTGCACTATCAACTTTGAGACGAACTAAACGATGCAGGTGACAAATCCTCTATCTGTCACACCGAAAATTCCGAGAGTTTTCTGGGCGTGACTTTGTTAAAGGGTGGACCACTGGCCGAGTGGTAGGTCCACGCTCTGGTGGAGAGTCTGACCATTGAACAGAGACGAAAATGCATGACAAAGACACCGAGAAAATTTAATTTGGTTGCAGTCAGAAAGCTAATTAGGACACTTTGCACAAATCGCTTTTGTAATATTGGGTGTAACTACTACAAAAAGTGAAACATGTTTACAATCCCCCTGTAACGCCGAATCAGAGCGCAGCTCTTGAGGAGCATGAGGAGAGGGAACGGAGAGGAGCGTATGCCCTTCCTCTTCATCCTTACCCTGCTTTCCTGCTCCTCTCCCATTTAGCAGGAAATTTTTGCTAAAATGTCCGGTAATTCCGCGTTAAATTTAGCGGGAATTGTTTTCCTCTAAACTTAGTGGGGAATTTTTGCGCTAAATTTAGCGGGGAATTTTATCCGCTAAATATAGCGGGTACACTTTTCCCGCTAAATTTAGTGATGGTATTTGTCCGCTAAATTTAGCGTGGAAATTTTTCCGCTAAATTTAGCGGGAAATTTTTTCGCTAAATTTAGCAGAGAATGTTTTCGCCAAATATAGCGGTGAATTGTTTTCTGCTAAATTTAGCGGGGAATTTTTCCGCAATACTTAGTGGATAAATGTCTCTGCTAAATTTAGGGGGGAAATTTACCCATATTGCAACGCGCGGTGACGTCATTATGGGAAAGGAAACCACCGAGCGAGGCGCCGAAAGACACTTTTCGCAGGCGTCGGGGAATTCGAAGACGAGAAAAAGCTCCGGGAAACTGTGAGTCAGCTCACGTCGTGAGACATGCCTTCCCTGACATTCGTCCAATACCCTTGCCGTTTTATATGACAGTATCATAATATCGATTCGGGTGACTATATGCATCTTCCTGAAAGAAGGCCCCGGAACTAACAATCGATATGGAGGCAAGCCGTACAATTTAAATAATAATTATCCAAAGAACAACCGAGTACTGGAGAAGCTCAAATGACCACTTTTGGTGAGATTCATAACACAGAAAATACCGAAATTTGGTTTTCATCGATTTTATTCAAAAAGATGGCAGTTCGTTTTAAATAGTATGAGTAGGATGATTTTGTGGACGTTCATGTTCAACTTGAAAAGCACTGGAATAATACCTTTCGTGTGCTGAAGATTCTATCTTCTGTGATATATATGGGCATTCATATCGCTTGTTTTACTCAGAATTTGTTCCGTGAAGTGAAAGTCTTTCTACAAAACTGCAACTTCTTGATGGCATTTTTTTTTCGTATAGCGACGGTTGTTATAAAATTGAGAATACGATTTTCTAGGTGTGCTTTATTTATTAGTCAATTCAATCATTTCACCCTCAAAGGCGTCATTTTCGGCCCATTTGCGGCCGAAACGGCCACGAATTTCATCGAGTGCTGCGTGTCCTTCACGTCCTGGCCGTTTTTCTTCTTTTTGACTGTGTTGTAGGCGACGCTGGCCTAGGTCGCCGCTCCTTCTTAACACATTGGTGTTTGACGCAGTGCTGCAACACAAAAGGATGCACTCTTGAAATCGTAACTCGAGTGAATTTATTTCGACTTGCTTCGCGTTCGCCTGGATTCTCGCTGTTGTTAAACACCGCACAGGCGGGCCAAACTATTTAAGCTGATTACTGACAAAACGGAAGTCATATTGCAGCGTGGAAATGAGATCACCATTTGTTTCCGGCACCCACCGAGTCGCCTAAGGCACACAATATTCCATCGCTTCTTAAGAAGCGGACGGCGAGTGTGCCCATAGCGATACTCAGTTTCATTTTAAGGCCGACCATAGCTGATGCTACGTTCCAATGGAACCAACCAAAAAGCGACAAAGGAAAGGGAAGGGGGGGGGGGGGGGGTAGCGCAATGATTTCCGGACTTAGGTCGAAAATTTGTGCAATTTTCTCTCTAAAGGCCCGTTCACACTCTTGCAACCGAGTACGACCGAGAGAGACAAGACCGGTTTTTGAGCCTCTCTCGACGTCTTAGGACCAGCTCCGCAGCAGCACGTCCGGTCCTAAAAAGTCGTAAGAGGCTTAAAAACCGGTCTGGTCTCTCTCGGTCGTACTCGGTTGCGTATATGTGAACGGCACTTTAAGGCCCGTTCACACTCTTGCGACCGAGTAAGACCGAGAGAGACCAGACCGGTTTTTGAGCCTCTCTCGACGTCTTAGGACCAGCTCCGCAGCAGCACGTCCGGACCTAAAAAATCGTAAGAGGCTTAAAAACCGGTCTGGTCTCTCTCGGTCGTACTCGGTTGCGTATATGTGAACGGCACTTTAAGGACCGTTCACACTCTTGCGACCGAGTAAGACCGAGAGAGACCAGACCGGTTTTTAAGCCTCTCACGACGTCTTAGGACTAGCTCCGCAGCAGCACGTCCGGTCCTAAAAAATCGTAAGAGGCTTAAAAACCGGTCTGGTCTCTCTCGGTCGTACTCGGTTGCGTATATGTGAACGGCACTTTAAGGCCCGTTCACACTCTTGCGACCGAGTAAGACCGAGAGAGACCAGACCGGTTTTTAAGCCTCTCACGACGTCTTAGGACCAGCTCCGCAGCAGCACGTCCGGTCCTAAAAAATCGTAAGAGGCTTAAAAACCGGTCTGGTCTCTCTCGGTCGTACTCGGTTGCGTATATGTGAACGGCACTTTAAGGCCCGTTCACACTCTTGCGACCGAGTAAGACCGAGAGAGACCAGACCGGTTTTTGAGCCTCTCTCGACGTCTTAGGACCAGCTCCGCAGCAGCACGTCCGGTCCTAAAAAATCGTAAGAGGCTTAAAAACCGGTCTGGTCTCTCTCGGTCGTACTCGGTTGCGTATATGTGAACCGCACTTTAAGGCCCGTTCACACTCTTGCGACCGAGTAAGACCGAGAGAGACCAGACCGGTTTTTAAGCCTCTCACGACGTCTTAGGACCAGCTCCGCAGCAGCACGTCCGGTCCTAAAAAATCGTAAGAGGCTTAAAAACCGGTCTGACCTCTCTCTGTCGTACTCGGTTGCGTATATGTGAACGGCACTTTAAGGCCCGTTCACACTCTTGCGACCGAGTAAGACCGAGAGAGACCAGACCGGTTTTTAAGCCTCTCACGACGTCTTAGGACCAGCTCCGCAGCAGCACGTCCGGTCCTAAAAAATCGTAAGAGGCTTAAAAACCGGTCTGGTCTCTCTCGGTCGTACTCGGTTGCGTATATGTGAACGGCACTTTAAGGCCCGTTCACACTCTTGCGACCGAGTAAGACCGAGAGAGACCAGACCGGTTTTTGAGCCTCTCTCGACGTCTTAGGACCAGCTCCGCAGCAGCACGTCCGGTCCTAAAAAATCGTAAGAGGCTTAAAAACCGGTCTGACCTCTCTCTGTCGTACTCGGTTGCGTATATGTGAACGGGACTTTAAGGCCCGTTCACACTCTTGCGACCGAGTAAGACCGAGAGAGACCAGACCGGTTTTTAAGCCTCTCACGACGTCTTAGGACCAGCTCCGCAGCAGCACGTCCGGTCCTAAAAAATCGTAAGAGGCTTAAAAACCGGTCTGGTCTCTCTCGGTCGTACTCGGTTGCGTATATGTGAACGGCACTTTAAGGCCCGTTCACACTCTTGCGACCGAGTAAGACCGAGAGAGACCAGACCGGTTTTTAAGCCTCTCACGACGTCTTAGGACCAGCTCCGCAGCAGCACGTCCGGTCCTAAAAAATTGTAAGAGGCTTAAAAACCGGTCTGGTCTCTCTCGGTCGTACTCGGTTGCGTATATGTGAACGGCACTTTAAGGCCCGTTCACACTCTTGCGACCGAGTAAGACCGAGAGAGACCAGACCGGTTTTTAAGCCTCTCACGACGTCTTAGGACCAGCTCCGCAGCAGCACGTCCGGTCCTAAAAAGTCGTAAGAGGCTTAAAAACCGGTCTGGTCTCTCTCGGTCGTACTCGGTTGCGTATATGTGAACGGCACTTTAAGGCCCGTTCACACTCTTGCGACCGAGTAAGACCGAGAGAGACCAGACCGGTTTTTAAGCCTCTCACGACGTCTTAGGACCAGCTCCGCAGCAGCACGTCCGGTCCTAAAAAATCGTAAGAGGCTTAAAAACCGGTCTGGTCTCTCTCGGTCGTACTCGGTTGCGTATATGTGAACGGCACTTTAAGGCCCGTTCACACTCTTGCGACCGTGTAAGACCGAGAGAGACCAGACCGGTTTTTAAGCGTTTTGCAACTTCTTAGGACCGGATGCGATGCAGCGGAGCTGGTCCTAAGAGATTGCAAGAGGCTTAAAAACCGGTTTGGTCTCTCTCGGTCTTACTCAGTCGCAAGAGTCTGTACGGGCCTTTACACTTCTGAAGTAGAAAACAGAAAAACGATTTCGCCTGCGTGTTCCAGTTGTTGAGTAAAAAGAAAGAAAAAAAGATACATTTTGGCATTTCTGGCACCCTCAACTCACTCCCAGCATTCAGGGTCACACCTGGTCGCACTCCTAGCGACGTCATTCGGGGTGTCGTGTAGCTTCCCCTGTGCTCTCTCGGAGGACGCTTCCTCTCCCTCTCTCTGCTGACAATAGTGGGTGTTAGACTGCAGCTTAAAGCCCAGCGAGGTCACGTAAGCTTCACGCCGTGTTTTCGCGCGCTTTAGCGGTTCTAATTCTGACGTCGAGAGGGCGTAAAGATTGAACCATGTAGGGCGTATTTCCGATGCATATATAGGGGCGTTGGGACATCTCCTTCCTCGTCGCCTCCTGAAGGTCGGCGTAAATATGCGCGTATTCGGTAATCCGACCGAGACTGATCTCGGCTTATCGCATGTGTATAATAATCCCTACAGCTCTGGTAGTTCAGTGTTCTAATAAACGAATGTATTTGCTTATGCGGTGATCTCTGCCATACACAGCTCTTTAGCAAGAAAACGTCAAATAATTTTAAGCTAATGTATTACCTTGGCTCTAATCATGAGTGATCTATATAAATTTCTAAAAAAGTGCCTAATAAAGAAACAACTAACGTTTGTTTGTTTGATTGCGTAAGAAAAACGAAGATATTATAAACTTTTTCGTAACGTAATTCCTCGTCAACGTTCTAGTTTTTTGACAGGAGCAGCTTGCAAAGCTTAGAAGAAACAACCACTTCACCGAAAGTGAAAAAGTGGATTACCTACAGTAATCCAGGCTGCCATATTTGCATCAAGTCTTGCCTTTCTTATAAATAGGAAATATTAGTCATTAATGAGTTAGTAATATATCAAGAAACCTAACAGTGACGATGGATCATACGATATTATATAGTTATTAAATGGCTAACGGATTTTATTACATCCCGGCAATACTATCCCAACCAAAAGCAAGGCGAGCTTCTCGTATATTTTTTTTAAAGTTAGCTTTTGGTTTAGAGCAGAGAACAAAACATCAGGGTTAAATTCGTATTTAGCGAACGACGTACAATGAACAGAACTATTATTACAAGAAACGTTTTGTGCGAATGATCTGCGACACAAATTACAAAAAAATAGGCCTTACATGTCCGCTTGCACACTCCATTCCATCCGTAAAACCGGCATACAGGCACTGTCCGTTGAGTTCCGTAGGGCAACACATCACGCTGCACTCCTTTGCTTTCTTCGATTCATGTAAACAAATGAAGTTTATAATTCATTATGGGATAGCGTTACGATTGTATCGTCTAGTGGTTTTTTTCGGCACTTGTAGCCACACAACGTGAAATAATCAATAAATAAAATTATGCCAAATTGTTTCCAAGAAAATGAAAAGAAAGGTTGAGTTTTTGAATAGTGATGGCGCGGTGGAGGTCTCGGGCTAAACCTGCTGCCTTGACCCGGGGCGCTAATTCGGACACTTAGCGGAAAAATTGGCGCGAAATCTTGCGGCTCTGAGTGGCCGGCGCCAAGGTCAAGTGCGGAGTTGGCCAATCACAACCGCCGGATTTCTCGCCGACCTTTTCGCCAAGTGTCCAGATTAGGGCCCCAGGTTCGTCTCCTATGCTAGCAATACCGTCGTGCGATTTCCTCACAGTGAGTGTCAATTCAGAAAGGGTGTGCCTTAAGCCATATCAAATCTTGTTTCTAAGAGTGTTCATTTTGTTACTGCTGAAGCGGTTAGGGGTATACTGAAATGAACAACACTATTCCTATGCTGACCCTGAAGTGTCGTCGCGAAGACATTGTTGGAAGGCTTCTGATGGACCTTTCCACATACCGACGGCACCAGGTGGTGGCTGCACAAACTAAAAATCGAGGAAGTGACCTACCTGCGCCACCAATCGACAATGGGAGCTACGCTACCAGTTTCTTTGCTCTCTGAGCTGCGGCGCGTGCGCAACACGACTTTAAAGAGGGGCATTCGTGGCGTCCACCCAAACATCGTGTTTTTCTCTGCGTTCATCTTCTTTTTTTTATGTAACACAATTATATATATTATGTAATTAATTACGTGTTCTACTCGCTGATCCAAAGCCTCCTTCTGAATTTCCTCGATTTTTCGTGCCGACTTCCACCGCTTGGCGTTGGGCGCTCGCACGTGCGAAAAACGCTCATCCTGTTAAGCAGAGAGACTACAGCTTCCAGATCTCGTTGTTTATAACATGTTGTGCCAATCGTGGTCTGCATCTAGCCTGGATCCTTTCAAGTGCTCCTTTATTTATTGAAAACAACAACATAAGAGGTTCTTATTGCTGTGAAAGAGATAGGCTTAGCTTGCTGAGACACGTTTCGTTCGCTTCTTGGGACGCCCAAAGGGGCAGTTCTATCGAAAACGTAGCTGCACCACTAAGAGTTTGCATGCCCTCAAGTCTAGGTGGAATATCTATAATTTATCAGAGGCTGGGGGGGGGGGGGGATAAAAGCTCACATGGTAGTTCCCCAAATCACTAAAAAGATTTAAAAGTTTTTAACTTCTCAAAAAAACAAAAAACAAAAAAAAAACACCCGAGCAACTGTGCATTTAAATCATTCCTTATAATGTCTTTGTTATATGCCTGGTTATGAATATAAAACGAATTATTTTGATTGAGTTACCTCCTAGTTTTTATTTTTATTGGGTTAAATTTTTGAGGTTTTGTATCGAATTATTACAAGGGTTGAACAATAATGAGAATAATTTTTCGACACTCGAAGCAAGAACCGTCATTCAGTTTCGGTCCAACGATTCCAAGCCGAGAGGGAATTAAAGCACTGTGAAAGTGCAACGCCACGGCATTCGCCGTGCGTCTACTTTCTCATTCGCCGGCTTATCCAATAAACCGCGAAAACTACGCCATGACGTTGCGCTTTTAGTTTATATATAAGCGCTTTTCCGTCTTCTAGGTTTCTTACAGCGCTCCGACTTAAACTGTAACGAAATATAGATATTATTCTGCCGCCCACAGTGTACGAAAACTGCATTGAATGTTCTGGATGTCACTTCTGAGTCCAGTAAAGAGTATGAGCGACTGTCCAACAACATCAACATCTGTTACTAAAAGCTCATTTCCAGCCTAATTTTAAACGCTATGCGTTTAGTTTATAGCTTATTTTGTATGGTCTTTTTTGCCAATTTAATGTAACTATTCAGATAAAGCACGAAATGATTTTATAATCTTGCGACACTTGGTCAGTTCCCCTCTACAGTATACTATTCTTGTGTGCATTTATGTTTCAAAGATATCATAGATTTCGTTCAATTGCACCACATGATGAGGAATCAATTCTTTATAAAAATGAACACCATAGCCAGGGTATACTAATAACATCGGTGGGTGTCGCGTTTTTCCGGCATTTAAGGACACTCTCGGTTGTGTCTCTGCCACTGAATCGTAACCAAGAGTGCTCTGCGTAGCCTAGCTTTATGATGACCGATTTAAGCGCTGGGAACTTACATACTCGGTGCTCATATCGCTGAAGCCTGGGTAGGTTAATTCACACAACCGTTGTTTCGTAAGTTTTGCACCGGGAAGTTCTGTCATGTTTATCCTGTGTTGCACCGGTGACAACAAATCAAAGCAACGTTTTCTAAGAGTGCTGAAAATATAAAGGGGAAATAATATTACCCACAGTTTGTCACAGTTAAAAAATGCAACATACGCTCCGCCCGCAGGCATAATGTGCCGGCTTCAAATTCCTCCGCCGCCGAGATATATTGCATTGCCTGCTCCAGGCTCGCGCGGAGCGTCCAAGGATAGCGGGTCATAGAGTGAGACATTATCACGAAGACGAAACAAAAGAATATGTGCGACTTCCCAAAAATAAAAAAAATAAAAAACCGGGAGGACTTTCTGCTATTGTTGTCACGGCAGACGCGAGGATGCCATTGCAAGTTTGTCTCCCGGTGAATTTACATGTGTCAGTGGTAGGAGCGGCTATCATCGCTTCCCTAGCTTACCATCTGGCTTTCTTCAACAGCGAGACTTGACAAGGGCTTAACGTTTCGAAAAGAATACATATAGCTTCGAAGACAAAATTTCAATGGGCATCTTTCATTTAATCAAGCAATACTTTGTTTCAGCTTAAGTCCAAAAGCAGCCGACGCTACGGGGTAACGGGACAAATCAAGCGGCGTCAACAGCAAAGTCACTATGTCGTCTCTGTTTGTAATTGGTTCGACGGTGATAGGACACGCACAGAATGGTGACAAACACCATGATGGGCACTTTTGACGAAGTTTGATCGGCCCCCTCAGCTCATAGCGTCGGCTCTACGTCTTGACCAACAGGGCAACTCCGGTCAATATTCTCGAATTTTGGATTAAGTCTGTTTTCATCTCAGTCAATGTCCCTGACTTCGAGGCATAAATTTTCTTGTTTATATTGTTTGTAGTCTTATAAATATCACTGGGGCAAAAATTTGGTTTCGAACATGTAAAAAGCAACAGAAATTATTCGCTAGAGAGCGAGAGCAACAGTGATTATTAGCTGTACGGCCGCGGCCTGATGTCACGGTGGTGCTGCGGTACGCGACACCCAGTGTTACTTGACTAAAACCTAACACGCTTGCCACCTGCACCAAAGCACGTTGCGCGTGACGATGTACAGAGAAACTGAAAGCTCTGTTATACTCCGACGTCGAGCGTAGCAAACGCGGCGTAGCGCAGCGCACGTAGATACTGATCTGTCGCAGATATTGAGTTCCTTATCACCGCCACTGGAAGGCGCACGTCCTGCGCTACGCTGCGTTCGCTCTTCTCGACGTCGGACTATAGACCAACACGCTGTTTCCAAACAAGCCCTCGTTTGCCCACACCAGGTGTGGGCACTGCGCGAGCGCAGAAACCGAATTCACGTGAAATGAATCGTCTGCGCATGCGCAGTGCCGTCGACAGCGCCACTGCAGCTGCGTGACGTCACGGCCGCGTGTTGGTCTATAACAGAGCCTTGAGGGAGGAGACGAAAGCACGCATGGACGCCAGAACGCCGGGCTCTGGTAAGAATGATTTGTAGGTAGATTCATAGACTACATACTTATTCCTATATACTGAAAAAGCCTGGCAGATCGTCACGAGAAGCAGCCGCCGAAATGGAAAGGCTGGAGCGGCAGGCAACGGATGAGAGGAGAGCCACGTGACTGACGCGCCGCTGCGGCGAGACGCCGAAACACACTTCACCCGAGCGAATAAGTGTGTTTCGGGTCTTCGCCGCTGCAAAAGCTGTGCGTTGATGTCCAGGTATCCCGACAAATGGCTGTTTGATGCTCTGTGCTGCCTGATCCTCGCGCTCAAAATCTGCGGCCGGCCTTCGATGGCTTCGTCGTCGAACTGCCAAGCTTTGTGAGTATAGAGGAGGCTATGGTAGGCCTAAAACTAGCTGCTTTGTCTGCACTGCACTCGTGGAACGCGTTCAAATGCGAGAAAAACACCGGGGCCCGTTTACTAGAAGCTGGTTAACTCTAACCGCAGTTAGAAGTTAACCACATTTCCCTACGAGAGGAAATTTTAGGTCACGTGACCGGCAGAGTAAAAACGGCAGGGAAGCATGGCCGTGCCCTGGTGAGTGAGCGCCGCTCGCTTTGGAACATATATGTCCCTGTAGCTGCAATATCGGGCGTGTTATTCAGCAATGAATTGTTCAGGAGGCTTTCGCTTTGCCTTAACTCACTTGAATCGCAGAGCATGAGCAATCAACTCGCCACATTTTTTAGATAGTCTTTCCATTCTGGCCATTCCTAAGCCTGATTGAACGCGATAATTGTCGGCATGGAAACGACTTCGGAAAGTGGATTGCCTTGACTCAATCGGCCGGGTATTGATAGCACGCGGAAGGAGACAGCTTCCCAATAGTCGTTTTTAGTCGTTTTGCTAAATTTCCCAAGCACCAAGATGCATGCTAGAAGTGTTGCTACACGCGCTGCATGTGCTGGCATCTGCAGTAGTAACTGCTCTAAAGCAAAAAGCCTAAAACAAATTTTGCCTTGCACGCGCGTTCGTCAAATCCTTCTTATGACTATTTACTTCGAATCTTTTATTAGCGGAAGGCTAGCGCGCGCGGATCATACAATTATACTTCCAGCGTTCTCCTTGATGCTTGGGTAATTTACCAATAGGTCTATTTTCACTGGAGCCGAATAAATAGGTTTTTCAATTTATGATGGTGTTATATACAGTTCTTACATGCTGGCCATCTATGCTGCTGGTGTACCGCCCGCCTTTCACTGCTCACTTCTTCCTTATCGTTTCTAAGACTGAACTTCGTCGTCCCCTTTCAAACTTGAAAGGAAATTTCAAAGAGTCTGGTCTTCAATTCAGACAGCCAAGTGTTTAGAAATTTTCCAAACAAGGGTTAATTTAGTTTTATCTGACCCTGTGTCGCGAAAACCCGGAAGCGCGTATTTTTGGGTCCCCCCTTTTTCCACGGAAGCCACTTATATTTACTACAACCAGTAGGTGACACCAGCTACCACCCCATAATAAAACACGGAGCTATCGCTCATCCAGCCCTCGTCAACTTGGCTAGGTATTTGTAGATACCTAGTAGGGACGGGCGGTAAACTCTTAACCGCGGTTAAGTTTAACCGGCTTCAAACAAACGGGCCCAGATGCCGTCGTTCCGCGTTCTAACGCGCTCAGCAGGCGCAGTGGAGACAAAGGCAGCTAGCTTTAGGTGTATTCACGAATCACTTCAACAACAGATGGTCGTTCTGATGTCTCCGTGCGCTCCCGTCTCGTCCTTTCTCTCAGTTTCTCGGCGCAAAGACCCCCGCTTACAGACAGCGTCGGCCCACGCTATAGGCCTGCTTCCCTTGTCCAGGGGGCGCTGTACCGTCCACGAGACGAGACCACAAAAGAGGCATTTTCGCTAGCGTTTGCGAGACGCGAACACTTACTGCTAAAGTGAAGCGGCCTCCTAGAGTCCCATGAGGCACGATCCATGGGCGTAAACAAGCGTATGTCAGCGTCCCTCGCGTCTACCCCCAGGCACTAACGGAGCGTTTGAAAGGACGAAGCGCGACGCACAATGGTAACGCGACCTACAAATATCCGCGTTTGCTCACCAGGGGCGCTTCTCAAAACTTGAGAGCTACGCGTCTGTCAGGTGCGTGCGCTCGTTGAAGTTACGACAGGGAATAAACCGCCCTTAAAGGCCCGTTCACACAGTTGCGTTCGGAGCGACCACTACGCTTACGAACGAATGCAAGCGGTTGGAACGACGAGTTACCATAGCAACGAAGCGTCAAACGGTCGTTTCGTTCGTGTTCGTTCGCAACGCAAGGAGTTGAGCCGGGCTGAACTTTTTCCTTACGTTCGGGAACAGCGGTAGCGACAGACCAATCACAGGTCGAGGAGAGCTCGGTCGCGCGCGTTGCATGCCGGTCGTGTCAGGCTCCTTCTATTTGCAAACATGGCGTCAGTGGTGATCGTCGACATGGGCGGCGTGGTAAACGCTCATCGTTCCCCGTAAAAGCGCTATCCTTGACTGTGAATTTTCGTCGCGTGTCGTTATGATAACCCAGCACGTACTAGAAGGGAAGATCCACCTACCTGTGCGGCGATCTCGTGGCGGCACTCTCAAGACAGCAGAAACGCCCGTGCCATCGTGTTTGTTTACTTCGACTACAGTGGTGCTTTCTTAGCATTTGTGTCCTCGAACATCGACCGGATTTCTTTTTTGGCGCATTCCTTGCGTGTGCCCAAGTTCAAGGTATTACTGGTGCGTACCGTATAAAGGATGCGATTTTGTTACTCGTTTTCATCGCCCGAAAAAGGTGATTAGTGTTAGCAATCCTGAACGCTCGCATCGTCTGTCAAATTATATTTCTACGTTCCTATATCGTTGCTAAGATTACATCGTCTTTTATAATCGTAGAAAAGCTGTGTGGCGAGATTTGTACTGTTGGCAAAGTCGTGTATTAAAGTCGTGATCGTGCAAGACGGCGTACTGCATATTTTTCTGTTTTTTAATGCAATACCCTGCAAGCGTATCCTGAAAAAAAAAAGTAATAAACCTTGAGGTCATAGAAGACGGTCTGTCTATTTTCTGTCACGCAAGTGAGTGGCAGCGCGTCCCCTTCTTTTTGGAGGCACCGCTAAAATAGCTGACGGCAACGGAGAGACGGTCGCCGTGCCGCCGACCCGCTGCGCTTGTTGCAGTGGTAGCAGGAGTGTACGCGCGGCGCAGAGCGATCGTTCCGGTCGCTCTGGTCGCAACGACGCAGTCGCGGATAACGGGTTCGTTTTAGATGTCTGAACCAGCCTTTACAAAGCTATTGTAGGCGCATAGCAGATCTTCGTGACTGTAAGCCGTAGCCGAAACTTCGGGCTGCTCCGGTGAGGACCCCGCTACCCCGCGTCGGGCACGAAACCGTCCGCCATGTTTGTAAGCGTAGCTGGGTTGCTTCCTATTCGCTAGGAGCAAGAGCTGAAGATCGTTTCTTATTGGCTGTTGATTTGCGTGGTTGCATGCAGTTGCATGTGTGCGTACACGTCGCGCACAGTTGTCGTTGAAGTCGCAGCGGTTGCATTCGTTCGTAAGCATAGTGGTCGCTTCGAACGCAAGTTTGTGAACGGGCCTTAAAGCTCGCGGCGTTGCGTTCGTATGGAGCATGCGTTGTGTGAGACACGCGCGTTTTCCCCTGTACGTAATACTAAAACTCAATATTGGCGTCCACTCCCAACAAAAATCATTGAGAAAAAAACGTTAATCTCGCCACAAGTTTGCAACGCAACTTGAGTTAGAAACGAGCGCCAAATCCATGGACGGAAGGGAAGCCATCGGTGCCGAAGACATCTGTCTGCACTGCTCGTTGGTCGCCACGCACATTCGATCGACCAAGCGCATACATTGAACACTTCGACGCCGACATGACCGTCAGATTCTCACGTCGCGGCACCCACAAAAAAAATCTAGATATATTTAGTGTAGGAGGCATATAAATGCGTAAGTAAACGGACCTACAGGTTGACGCCAGCAGATTTCATAAAATTAGCCAAGAAGTTGTGCGAGAATCTTCAAAGGCCTCGTAGTCAGATTAACTGAAGAGCGTGTTGATAACAATGACTGGCAAGAAAAAGATTCTGTTGCCAGCCAAGTAGCCCTCCCTGACTAATTACACTCGTATATAATACTAGTATGAGTCGAACAAGAATCTTAAAATTGCAATGACATCCTAAACCATCTTGCCATTGTCCTGTAAGCGTTCACCTTTCTTGCCAATAGCAAAGTGCAAACAAGCAGCATGACGTCACAGTCACTGCCTGACGATGGACGCCTCACTCGAGCTGTGCACCAACGAGGAGCAGCGTTCTCTCATCCGGTTTTTAGGCGGTGAAGGAATGGAAACTTTTGAAACTCATCATATAACTAAGATACAGTATGGTGATAATTGCATGTCACTTCGACAGGATTAAGAATGAGCTTCACTCTATTTCAGATAAGCACAGTTCGCTCCGGCGCTACGAACTAATCAAACAAATCAATCTCTGTGACAGACGTAAGTCATTAAGCTTTTTTTTGTTTATTATTGGTTCAGCTATGATAGAAGACATACAGAAACTGGGGAAGCACGGTGATGGTGCCTCTTGACGCTGCCTGACTAATTCAACCAGCTCGTAGCGTCGCCTGTGTCTAGATTTAAAAGGACACTAAAGCGAGAAAAAAAAAGTTTTGATAAGTTTAAACATTTTTAGCAATGTTCACGTTATTAGGCAGAGTTTAGTTGTATGTGGAGGTTTCTGCCCGCTAAGGCCCCGCCCCGTGCTTACAAGGTGCTTACGTCCCTATTGGCAGGCGAGATGATAGACGTCTGAAATGTCGGTTGTAAAATTATCTCTCAGTTCTGTAATAGTATTTTAAAAATCAACAATAATTTTATGTTTGTAAAACAAATGATCGGGATAGATTCAATATTGTTTTCAAAGACATCCCGAGATATCATTTCTGCTTGGGTTTCAAAAGGTACCAAGCATGGCTGCCGGCCTCTGCGGAGTGATTAACGAGGGTAGCTCTTCGAGCTCGTATATTTTAATGAGTGCGAGTTGTCCTGCGTTTACTGAGGCGTTTAGACGAAGATCTCCTCAACCGATTCACTGGGTGTCGCAAATAGCGGCCAGGCGCTTTAAATGCACCGGAAACTTCGGTTGCTTAAAGGGATGGTGAACCAAAATTTGGATCTAAAAAAAACCATGCTCGAGATCTAGGCGGGACGCTACAATCCCTACAACACTTCTCGTAAGGCGATATCTCCAATGGACGGCCGCACTTTTGGAAAAAGAAGTCGAGCTTGAACCAGGCCGACGAGGCGCGTGACCGTCAAGATACCTAGTTTCCTCCTCTCTTCGCTTCGCTCCCTGAAGGCCGCGAGGTGGAGAAGACGCGAGGCCGTTCCCTCTCCTTCTCGGAGAAACATGCCGTCAACATTCCTGCCAAATGCGCCTTTTTTCTTGAAACATACTGTCATCCGTTTGAGATATCGCTGTATGAGTGAGGTTTCGGTGTTTATAGCATCCCGTTGCGCGATTTTGCCGCGTGTTTTGGGGAATCCAGATTTCGGTTCAGCATCCCTTTAACCTATCGCGCTGCGCTTTTGTGCAGTGTGGCCCACAGGTGGTGCATAAAAAAAATGTGCAAAGAGCGAATTTTTTTGAGAAAAAAGGAAAAAAAAGAAAAAGGCTTAACTCCTACGGAATTGGAGCCAAGCCACCCTTCTTCCAACGATAGGGAGCCCTAATGTTTGAAGACCGGTTGCAAATGCTTTGGACTTAATGTATTTGCAAGATACCAATGTTCTAGCGAAAGCAAGAGTATTTAAGACAGGCACAAGTCAGGACTCAATATCTTGAAATGTAGCCCTATATGTATTGTCCTTACCATTCACGTTCTCGCCTCAAACAGTGAAGAGCCTCCTCATAAAAATTACTATGTTACGATATGTTACTCAGTATTAACGTGCAGTCTATTGTTGGTTATGAAAACTAAGCAGCACAGAGTTACATAAAATTGCTATTTATCTTTTCTGTCATTTTCTTGATAATAAAGTTTTCTAACAAGACGTCTGTGAAAACATTTATATTTAGGACGGAGGGACTGTTTAATAGTTGCTGTCATCTATGTTTAATCTGAACAAAACGAGGACCCGTTTGTTCAATATGGCTGTTTAGAAACTGGGTTTTGCATGCTGCATTTTTCACTCACATCAATATTTACACTTCTGCGTAACCACAGGTTATTATTTTTTCATATAGACTAATTATTGACGTGTTCGTAAATTCAAGTTTTTCTTTGAACATTTTGCGAGAAGTCATGCATGTTCACGTTCACAATTCACCTAGGAGCGTTTTGAATTGAATAAATACACATGATCTTATTAGACAATTCAGTCCAAGGTTAATGTCGTTGTATATTTATTTAATAAAACTACATATTTATTACGCATCATTTTCTATGTTTCTTAGTAGTTTATGAAGCGGTAAACACACGCCAAAAGTTCAGCGAAAAAACCCAAACCCAAGAAAATGCCCACATTGTTATACTAGATATTCTTAACAAAGCTCCTAAGAACTGCCCCCCCAAAAAAGCAGGGATTTTGTATTCTTTGTGAAAGTAACCTAAAGACCGATGTGCTACTGAAAACAAGAAAATGGACGGAAGGTAGTCTCTTTTTTTTTACAGCCGCATGATAGTAAGCCTTCGCCTATGAAAGTTTAAATGAGAAAAAAAAAAATGGACAGAAAGTAGTCTCTTCTTTTTTTACAGCCGCTTGATAGTAAGCCTTCATCTACGAAAGCTTAAATGAGAACACTTCAACAAACGCTGCATTTGTACTCATAATGAGTGATCATGCACTTCAAAGTTTGAAAAAAGAAAGGAGTTCAGGTAAATAGCGCTATTAAATAAAAGATTAGCTTCCAGCCTACCTAAAATGTTTCTAAATGGCAGGGAAAATATTACAAACAAGTAAATTTTTTTATAAATCCGGAAGGCATTCGAACTACTCGGTATCTCAATGGTCTTTAAAGGATGAAGCACACTAAAGTCAATTTTCTTCATTATAAGTTAGAAATGAGCGTATGCTAGATGACGCCGGCAGGTAGGGCACACTGAAGCATCAAAGTGATAGAATATAAAACTTTTACCTGACAAATCCACGCACTTGGTCCAAGGAGCAGGGGGACCACTGTCCCTGCCGCTGGCCGTGCGCAACAGGAGCCATCGTGAAGCCATCTTTTGGGTCGCATACACGATCTTTGTTTCCAGGAGTGCTATATCGTGCTGTCTCCCCGTCATGCACCATACCAAGCCTATTGAGAAAAGTTATGGAAAATTTCTAGGCAACTGTGTTTTGTACGTGAAACCTTTTAGCATCGCAAAGGTTTAGCGACAGTTTGAGTTTTTAGCCGCCCAGGTTCATGGCGCTCTTAATCAGATCGTTTAACGGGCACCATATGTACACTTGATTGTTGTCCCTAGAATGAAGTGAAACCAGCGCTCTTGGGGCTGATAAACTTGGCGATCTTCCAGAGCCTTCCATACTCTCGAGCTCCTCTCGCTCAGTGCTCACAGGTGGTCGAGCTCCCCCACGCCTACCTCATTCCTCCACGCCTACCCTTCTGGTCACGTGACCTGCCCGTTAACCAATCAGCTTCAAGCACCTCACCCCTCGTCTCCAACCCGTCAATCAATCAGTGTCGATCCTGGCGGCCACGCTTTTACATATTCAGATTTCACGAAGTGCCGAACCCCTTGCCAAAGAACGTTTTACGTTAAAATTAAATTTAGGATATCTGCTAGTGACATGTTCGTGAAATGAAATCATGATCCAGGCACCATGTTTATATTCATCTGTTATAGTTGCTTGCAAATACCGGGTGTTTGAATAGAACAGATTAACAAAATCGTAAAACGTGAACTAATGCACTTTGCGAAGTGAGCTATATGGCCAAGGGGACATAATATAAAGGGAGGATACGCCTCACTAAGAGTCAAATAATTAACTAAGTGTTATTGATTACCTTTTTAATTTGTCGAAATAAACATATGGTTTTAAATACAAACTGGGTGATTAAAACTACCAAATCAGTATTAAAAAAAAAGAAAAAAAAACTTGGAGTAGGCGGTAGGCGAGGGGTACGTTAAAGTTACCACTTGTGCAACAGGCTCAAGTTTGGTGGCGCCAAAAACGCGGATGATGAGAAACGGAAGAACCGCTGGAGTGCGTCAAATTTGGACGCCTGTTCAGGGATGAAGAAACACTAAAAACATGTCTATAGAGTTCTGTTAAAATTTGGTGGTCTTGATTCCAATTAAGGTAACTGAATACAAGTCACCCACATTACCAACGATTGAATATGAAAGTACAGTTTGTGATCCAGTCACGCGACATAACGTTTACAGAATGGAAGGATAAAATGTAACATCTAAACCCTGGCACAAGAGGAGGACACGCCACGGGCATTGAAAGGCGAGTACTCACGCGTGCCCGAGTTCGTGCGTCAAAATAGGGACCATGCTGTGTGTATGAGGCACGTCTTCTGATTGGCCAACACTCATACGAACGTGGCACACTCCCCCAAGGTAGGCGATGCCTGCAGGTAACACAGTTGACATTTAAACTTTTTGCACACTCTCTTATATCACGAATATGAAAGGCAAACAGCTTTAACATGGGGTACTCTTTTACGCTAAAAATATTAAACACAAATCAGAAAAAATACAACAAAAAAGCGTTCATTTTTGAGAAATGAACCGCATATATAAAATTGTGTAACTTTTCAAGTTAATCATCTAGCAAGATACGTAAAGGCATAAGGAATTCCTTGCATCTTTTCAAACGCTCTGTTGGTGCACATGGATAGACGCCGAAGGACGCCGACAGACGCTAGTTTACTTTCGTGGATCGTGCATGATGGGATGTCAGGACGACGATTCCCGTCAGCTAATCCTGTCGTTTAACACCTCAAAATCTGGTGCAAAAGATGCAAACAAAAAAGGAGATCTCTGCATAGAAGGTAGTTGACAATGATGGTATTGTGGGTTTGACCGCTTGGTCTCTTGGGAATCTGTATGTGCTTTATATTTGAAAATGATATCAACAAAGGAGATCTCTGCGTAGGAGGTGGCTCAGAGTGAATGTGAGAGTATATATGGGACGCCTTAGAAGTAAACCAGATAGCTGAATTTGGGACGTTCCCTTTTGTGTCTGTTCCTTCGATTAAAATGTTTTTTCTTTTCTGTTCCACAGCTTGGTGTGTCTAGCGACCTATGCTGGTCATACATCAAAAGTGGTCCTGACGTAGCAACAAATGACGTCACAGAAGCCGAAGTGTCATGCTGTTGCATGTCGTGATCCTGGCGGTTGGTCGTAGAAATGTTAACGAGAATCTGCGAGTAACAGAACCGAACGCGAGTGTCGCTGTCGTCATGGCGTCCCAACTTCTGGCTTCGAAAGCTTCCGTCTACTGACACACTGGGGAGCCCGACATTCAGCAGAACAGGTGTCTGCCACTTGCACCACAGCTGTTGGGACTCCGCCAGGATCACGACCGACGACAGCATGACACTTCGTTATCAGGCGGAAACCGAGGGACCACTTTTTCTGACGTGGTAAACACACCAGTTGAAGACGCGTGCCAGGCACTTTAATTAAATGGTCACGTATCCCGGACGTTACCTGAGGCATGCACCTCTTTTGTGGTGAAGTCTTGTGGACTGTAGCACCCCTGGCCGAGAAAAATAAGCCCATAAATGTCTATAGGTTTAAGAAGCATGAAACTCATTGATATGCCTCTTGAAGTGTAGCTATATACGGGGTATAGATTGCCATTAAGACTACGGATGCATTGTTTATTCACGACGATAGATCTTAGAAATTGATCACTCTTCACGCTATAAAGAGACTGCAGAGTTGAAAGAAAAACAACATATGCCTGACAAAATGAGGCACCAAGTCACACCAGCGGCAACAACGCACGAGACGCCAGAGTGACTTGGGTTTTCGTGCATCAATCTCAACTTTTTATTAATAATGTCCGCACCTCGATTTTCCTTGCAATAAGAAACGGGTTAATTATTACGATTCGCGGAAAATCAGCGATCGTGGGAAGGCTCGAATGCCGATCGGATAGTTATGTGAATGTCAGATTATTGGTTTGGACACTGCGGAAAAGTAGCATTTTGAATTTTGCGCACTAATGGTGGACCTAAATCGGACGAGTATCTTACGGAACACAAAAAAAAAACACGGTGATTCTCACCAATCAGTTCGGTTTCACTGTCTTCTTTCTAATCAAAATTGTTTTTTTATTGTAAACTAGAAACCGGTTGTACCTTCGTGACATACGTTACTTCACGGGGCATGCCCCCGAAAGAGTCCTGACTAAAATATATTTGAATATCGATCTCACAATAGCGGCGTTATCGGCAGAGGTAAAGTTTGCGCACACAGAGAGTAAGCAATTTGTTAGCTTTCTAATTTTTTTCCTTATGTAGATGGCTGCTTCCTTGTAGCATTTAGCAATATATTTTTCCTATTAATTTAATACTGAGTGTATTCAACTAGCTTCGGGAATGTCTGTACCATTTTCGTATTTCCAGCAACTTGGTTACGGGGTGAGCGTTTGAAAGGATCTAGAGTTGCATTTTTCAAGCGACAAATAAAGTAATTTCTTAAGGTGGTTCCAAGTCTTGGAGAAATATAAGTTACGGTGCCACTCTATACAAAAAGGTCTGTGTTCATGCGCATGCAGGAATAATTACGGTCCTTTTCTTTATGAATTAAACATAGGCGTTGAACGTCTATTTCGTACCCAGGACGCTGTTGGAAAGCTCGCCATTAACATAATCTGCAAGGTCCAGCCTAGAGAGATGAGAAACGGTCATTAAACTCGGTTAAGTAATGCTTTCTTATATTAAAACACGTTACTTCCCTTGTTCCGTGCCTAGGCGCGGGCATGGCTACTCTCAAAAATACTTTTATCGCCCTCCGCAAATAAGATTGCTGCATCGAATCAGGAAGTCAGAATCCTAAAGCCTGCGCTTTTTAACCTGTCAGTGACTACACCATTCGTAAGAACATAGAACAAGCAACCTGCTCTATAACGTGTACAAAAGCGCCAGATGCCGAGGATAAACGATTCATTTGATGACGTGCGTAAATTACGCTTAGAGGTAGCATTTTGTTTTATTTTTGATTTATTCTGTTAATACGAGTAAAACATATAGCAATTTTAATCATTTTATCCTTAATCTGCCTACTGCCCACAGTAAACGCCTAAAATGGGAATGCCATTAATGCTCATTGAGACCACTCGCATCACTAGTTATGTTTATAAACCTTGATTAAGGATAACATGCTGGATTATAATTGCCAACTCTTATATTGCTGTGTCAAGACACTGCGGTCTTTTTAAGAAAAAAATTAATAAAGCATTGCTTTTCTGCCTTGAACGTCACGTTTCTGCCGAATTTCTGTTGGGCCCCCTTGTTATGGTGGGCTACAGTATTAGCCCCGAGAGCGAACACAAGCGTCGCTGCGGTCGCCGCGCCCTGATTGGGTGAGGTGTACCGTGACGTCAGGGGGATAACTCCGCTCCGCGATCTCGCATCGGCTCGCTCCCCAGCACCGGTTTCCTGGTTTGGCGTTGTGTGCCGCAAGCTCTTCGAGGAGCTGGACCCCGTTTACCCGGTGTACAAGACGTTGAGTTAGGCCGATATTGACGTGCTTTCGTACATTTTATAAGCCTGCTTGTCCATTTTACCTTTAAAAAGCCGACGAACCTTCCCGTCCGTCCACACGATACAAGGCAATCTTGCGAGGGGTCGGTGAAGCGGTGGCGCAAATGTTTCAGGCGCTGAAATTCTGTTCCTTGCATGTTCATGATTTAGGACGATATTACATACCGCTCTCAAGGCATTTGAAGTGGCATTTATATCATGGGCCTTTGGGTGGTCGGCAAATTAGCTCGCGACCCCGACTCAGCGCATGCCACTCTGTATGCGCTGGTTTGCAGATGTTTTAAAAGCCCTGCGTCTAGTGGTCTTTGAAGTTCTCGTGGAACAGGGTTGTTTTACATAAATGTAGCTTCTTCGCGAATTAATTATGTAGTTTATACACGTATGCAGGCATATTTCTTAGAAGATGCACAATTACTGGAAATTAGTTTGTATGGTAGCAGCAAAAACGACCTGAATTTCCCCCAGTTGCTTGTATGATATGTATTGAACTGCACAAAATATGCACAGCAATAGTACCGTAATTTGGAATGGTTATACTTTTTCCTGACATTCTTTATTCCAGCCTTGGGTATTCGGAAAATACACCGTTTAGTTTGAATTGTCATTTCCAATTGAAAGAGACACTGCTGCAAGTCCCCAAAAGCTTCCTCAGCCTCCAAACTCCCTACAGCTGGACTTTCTGACAACAGAGGAAAACAGGAGTAAAAGCAAGCATTCGAACGGCTGTCCAGTGGTAAATGCAGCACTAGTATCAGGAAATGTGGAACCTGTGAAAGGTGACAGTCTGCGTGAGAGAAGCTTCTGGTATTTTAACTTCAGGACATTTTGATTGAGGTAAAAAATCTCGATTTTAGCGCGTAAGGTACTAATAACGAGCTAGATACCTTTGCTTACGTTTGTTATACATTACTTGAGAATTGATATAAACAAGTCCACAGATACCACCCATGTAGTCCATTAAAATACTATCCGAATCCAGCGAAGGTAAAATGCGAGCGATGTGTATAAATAAATGTTCCTTGTTTTTTTTACTTTGCCCCTGCACTTGGGCTGTCTTAATTGTGATTCTCTCCCCATGGCCCAGACTGTATTTAACATGTTGCTCGAGCAGCATGCAACGTTTCTGCTTCGGCGATCTTGTTTAAAAACAGATTAAAAAAATAGTCTACATAACCTGCCAATTCATTCAGACCATAAGCAGAATTTATTGTGTGAGATATAAATCTATAGTGATGCTCTTGCAATTTTGGCCATATTTCTTTATTTTCATATACCAGCTGTGATTTACGCGTTGCCTGCCCTGTCAGCCATGCTTAAAATGTTGGTTGAAGTTTCGCTTGTAGCTACAGGCCATCCCTCAATAAAGTCACATATAAGAATTTACACTTCCTACGAAAAACACGCAAAAAAAAAAAAATAGAAACGACCGCGCCGACAGCCAGCCCGTCACAGCCTCCACAGGGCGAGCGGGGCGAGTCGGGGAAATATTCTCTCCTCGCCGTGACGTCACCCCGGTTCGCCGTAAGGGGGCGCCACGCGAACTTCTCGGGGCTAATAGACGACATTCAGCTCAATTATATTCCAGTGATCAGAAGATCATCTTACTTAGTCGATTCGCAAGTGACATGAGGCTAATTGCCCTTTAAATGTTTTATGTGCTTGGGGTATTAGAATAAAATGCAGGCGCACCGCGCATAGGGTATTAGACTCCAGCAATATCAAGCGACATTTTTAAATTAACATAATATTTGTAAAATGAGGGTTTGGAAGTACGGATCCTTGGGGTAACGAAGTCAGGCTTCTTAGCCAGGGGCAACGCGGCTCTATAATACACTGCACATTGACCATCAGTTTGAAGTAGGTGGCCGGAATTGTACAACTAATACAATTTATTCTTCATCCCTCCGTAAGACTTCTTTGAATGAAAATACCTTCATTCCTATGCTGTATCAGTTATTAGCAATCACCTGTTCATAAACATTGTTAGCACCGTTCACTGCTTCGAGCATTCATGAAATAAGTTTGAGATTACTGTACTTTGTTTTAGGGGAACGCAGCCCTTAGGCGCCCGTTTCCGGATTGAGCCACGTCGCCGTCGGCGTCACCGCGCTCCCCATTATGGGATGCTCCCCATAATGACGTCACACGTGACGCCACTCAACCCGGGAAAAGTCTTCCACAAAATTTAGCTGGAAAGCTTTTCCGCTAAATTAAGCGGGCAAACTTTTTCGTTACCTTTTGCCGGAAAAATGTTATCGGCAAACTTAGCGGCAACATTTCGCCCTCGTCACCTCATACGTGATGTCACGTGTGACATCGCGTTTAACTTAGCAAAAAACTTTTCCTCTAAAATTAGCAAAAACATTTTACCGCTAAATGTAGCGAGGAAATTGACGTCACGTGACCTCAAAACCAATTAAATTTCCCCACTAAATTTAGAAAGAAAATGTCGCTACAATTCTGCTAAATTTAGTGGGAAAATGTTGGTAAATTTCTGGCTAGATGGGAGGGGACAAGGAGAGAAGGAGGGGGAAGGGTATGAAGGAGAAAAGGGGTACACCCTCTTCTCCGGATTTTTCCCACCTCCTCCTCAAGAGCTGCACTCTGATTCGGTACTACAGAGAATTGTAAACGTCTTTAATATTTTTATAACCCTTTCTTCTTTCCATTTAGTTGTATATTTACCCGGAATGGCATAATGGAAAGTATTGCTTATGGCTTATATTGCTTATATATTATATAGTCTGTATTCTTATATAACACAATAATTACTATGTAACAAAACACAATATAATTAGGGTTCCGTGTTTTCGGTGTTTATTTTTTGTCGAATTTGGGAGAATTTTTTTTCTAGGGGGGGGGGTTAATTTTACCCGCAGTTTCGCTGTTTTTGTGTAATTCGGTTTAAGTCATAACAAATGTACACAAAAACACCGAATCAGTAAGAAGAAATTAACTCATAAAAAAATACCCCCAAATTAAATAAAAAAACTCCGAAAACATGGAATCATATATATATATATTAATATAAGCTTATGTTATATCAGAATATATTCAATATTAGCTACCCCTTTCATATTGCTTAACTTACCAGGTGGAGTTCTGCTGAAATGTTTACATTTAAGACTCTCAGTAGTTAAATAAAAAATGAATAAGGAGGCACGCTTAAGAACACTGAATCTGGGATAAATTTAGCCTTCCAGTCACACGAATGCCGCTTGTGTAGGGTACACCCTAACGTGGACTTCGATATTTAAAAAAAAGGTCCAAGAAAAGTCTATTAGTGATACTTCCTCCCTAGTTTTTGTTTCGCTTCCCTTACGTGCACCCCTCTAAAGGCATAACAGTGCGGAGAGCAGTAAAACACGTCATTAGTTGCTTGATTGATTAATTTAAGGTACAATGAAAAAAAAAGCGTTTGTGAAAGAACATAGCAAGGCATTGCAACAAGTCCTAGTTCTTCTCATAGGTCAAATGAACTTTGATTGGCCTAATCCCTTCAGATTAGCCCTTGCTTTACTGATAATCGGACGGTTTGCTACCGGAGACCAAGCTGCGACCAAGGCCCGACGGATCATCTCTTCAGTCACGGACCAGTCACGTCATCGCGCAAACACCGGACTGATAACTACAACGGGCTTGTGGCTGAGGACTGGTCAGCAACACGAGCAACCGATCAGTCATGTGACAGCAAACGTCATCAAGGGGTTAAAAGAAGCACCCCGCCACACAACCATCGCAGTCAGCGGCAGGAACCACACCAGAGCATAACGCATTGAACTTTTTCAGGTAAGAATTTATCATAAAGCACTGGTACCTTTACCTAACGATACCTGCTGGTGCCGCTGACTGCGAGTTGTGTGTTGAACAGTGTAAATGTCTTCAGATGATGAAACTTCTGTTCTCTGTTTGAACTGTAAAAAAACAATTGGAAGGAGATGGGAAGGATATGCAATGTACTGAATGTCGATTCGGATACCACCTAGGGAACTGCTCTGGTGTGCCCAAGAGTAGTGTCAAAAAGAAAAAAAAACAGTCAATTAGCTTGAGAGAAAATTGGGTGTGTCAAACATGTCGCATTTCAAAAAAGCGATCAAAACCAAGCGACGCGCAAACGAATGT